TATGAAAGATTTCTACTCCAAGTTGACAAACTGGACAACAGGGGATGTAGCTCAGTGGTAGAGCGCATGCTTTGCTTGTATGAGTTTCTGGGTTCAATCCCCAGCATCTCCAAAAGTTTTGTAGCTTTTCAAAAGTCATTGTAATCAACTGAAAGATTAAACTTTTTACCAATGAGTGGTTATAAAATGTGTGTTCCCATAACGGGAGTTAAACCTGTGCCACCCGGCTGAAAACCAGGAATTCTAACCGCTAGACCATATGGAACATTGTTAAGGAATGAGATGAGAGTCTTTTACTCGTCCACCATTATATTACTAAGAGCAACAAGTTGTCTTGACTTATCAGTAGGGGACGAAGCTCAGAGGAAACTTGCTTGCTTTGCATGATTGAGGTCCTGGGATCTATCCCCAGCATCTTCCACAGTTTTGTGGCTTTTCAAAAGTCACATTTTACTAATGAGCGGTTATAAAATGCATGTTCCCATACCGGAAGTCGAACCCGGGCCGCCTGGGTGAAAACCAGGAATCCTAACCGCTAGACCATATGGGACCTTGCTAAACAATGAGATGAATTGCGTATTCGGTCCTCCACGACACCCAACCATTAGACCATATGGAACATCGTTAAGGAATGAGATGAGAGTAGTTATAACCAGCTGAAAAAGATAAAACATTTTACCAATGACCGTTTATAAAATGCATGTTCCCATACCGGGAGTCGAACCCGGGCCGCCTGGGTGAAAACCAGGAATCCTAACCGCTAGACCATATGGGAGCTTGTTAACCACTGAGATGAAATGCGTATTCGGTCCTCCACGACACCCAACCACAGGACCATATAGAACATTGTTAAGGAATGAGATGAGAGTCTTATTCCTTCTACCAATATATTTCTAAAAGCAACAAGTTGTCTTGACTTATCACTAGGCAACATAGCTCAGATGAAGCGAGCTTGCTTTGCATGTATGATGTATGATTGTTAAGGAAGGAGATGAGAGTCTTTTTCCGTCCACCAATATATTACTAAGAGCAACAAGTTGTCTTGGCTGAAAACCAGGAATCCTAACCACTAGACCATATGGGACCTTGCTAACCAAAGAGATGAATTGCGTATTCGGTCCTCCAGGAGACTTAACCACTAGACCAAAAGGGAACATTGTTAAGGAAGGAGATGAGAGTCTTGCTGAGGTAGGGGATGTAGCTCAGTGGTAGTTCGCATGTATGAGGTCTTGGGTTCAATCCCCAGCATCTCCAAATATTTTTGTGGCTTTTCAAATTCATTACAAATAACTTAAAGATTAAGCAGCAATTTACCAATGTGTGGTAAATCTAGATGTGAGGCGTATTCCGTGCTCCATTATACTATGAAAGATTTCTACTCCAAGTTGACAAACTGGACAACAAAGGATGTAGCTCAGTGGTAGAGCGCATGCTTTGCATGTATGAGATCCTGGGTTCAATCCCCAGCATCTCCAAAAGTTTTGTAGCTTTTCAAAAGTCATTGTAATCAACTGAAAGATTAAACTTTTTACCAATGAGCGGTTATAAAATGTGTGTTCCCATAACGGGAGTTAAACCTGTGCCACCCGGCTGAAAACCAGGAATTCCAACCGCTAGACCATATTGGACCTTGCTAACCAATGAAATGAATTGCGTATTCAGTCCTCCAGGAGACCCAACCACTAGACCAAATGAAACATTGTAAAGGAAGGAGATGAGAGTCTTTTTCTCGTCCACCATTATATTACTAAGAGCAACAAGTTGTCTTGACTTATCAGTAGGGGACGAAGCTCAGAGGAAACTCGCTTGCTTTGCGTGATTGAGGTCCTGGGATCTATCCCCAGCATCTTCCAAAGTTTTGTGGCTTTTCAAAAGTCATTATAATCAGCTGAAAGATTAAACATTTTACTAATGAGCGGTTATAAAATGCATGTTCCCATAGCGGGAGTCGAACCCGGGCCGCCTGGGTGAAAACCAGGAATCCTAACCGCTAGACCATATGGGACCTTGCTAACCAATGAGATGAATTGCGTATTCGGTCCTCCACGACACCCAACCATTAGACCATATGGAACATCCTTAAGGAATGAGATGAGAGTAGTTATAACCAGCTGAAAAAGATAAAACATTTTACCAATGACCGGTTATAAAATGCATGTTCCCATACCGGGAGTCGAACCCGGGCCGCCTGGGTGAAAACCAGTAATCCTAACCGCTAGACCATATGGGAGCTTGTTAACCACTGAGATGAAATGCGTATTCGGTCCTCCACAACACCCAACCACAGGACCATATAGAACATTGTTAAGGAATGAGATGAGAGTCTTATTCCTTCTACCAATATATTTCTAAAAGCAACAAGTTGTCTTGACTTATCACTAGGCAACATAGCTCAGATGAAGCGAGCTTGCTTTGCATGTATGATGTATGATTGTTAAGGAAGGAGATGAGAGACTTTTTCCGTCCACCAATATATTACTAAGAGCAACAAGTTGTCTTG